ATCCTCGATGTTGACGTCGAGAAGGAGAGATTTGTAGCACGTCTCGCCGATGATGGAAACGCCCAAGTCGCGAATCGGCGCGGGGAGGTTATGCGTGATGGGGGTGATGGCTGATTTGAGGGCGTCCATGGTGGTCTGATTCAGTATTACCAAGAATAAGGTAGAAGAGAAGCTGATCAAAGCTCAGCGATTATACAAAGAAGTATTTCAGAAGGAGTGTGAAAGAAGTAGACAAAGACGTCACAAAGCTCGGAATTGCTTGTCTCAACTTTCAGAAGAAGAGGCCAACGAAACAGTACGTGATGAAATTGGAGATGGCCGTTGCCTCATTGGAGTTAGTGGAGTCAACCCTGGTTCTGCCCTACGACAAAGTGGCTTACCCTACATCAGCCAATTGAACGGCCTCTGCTCCGGGGTTTCGGATCAGACTTGCTTTGCTTGGTTGGGCTGTCAATTAAAAATGGTCCCCTGTCCTGTCCTGTCCTCGAGTAAACAATGACATCAGTGCCATGTTGTTTCACAAAGATGCTTGTTCATTCTCACGTTGCACATGCCGTCCGTCCCGTCTACAAAAATATCCGAAAAAACTGATCTATCAGCCTCAAATGACGCTGAGGGAACATGTAAGAATCTTCGAGATTATTCAGCCCATGCCAAATCATCTCACAGATCTCGGTGGGGGGTTCAGCACCACACACCAATTCTGCGAAACAGTACAGTGAGCTCAGCCTCAAGAGGGAACCAACCAGGTTTTGAAAACAGCTATTTTCGTGTTATGGGCTTAGATTACCTTACACAGCCGTAGACCGTTGCGAAAATGAAAAGTGAAGGGAATCCACTTCTATTTCGACTTGTTGGACTTTTGTACTGCCCTGCTCCTCGTGGGAGGGATCACCCGGGGCGCCTACACCAGTGATGCACGTGTCAGGCCACGAGGGGGCCGGCAGTGAAGGGCTGCTGCTATGTGATATGATGTCTGTTTGCGTTATGATATGTCAGTTCATGATGCGTTGTGTTTGTTTGTCGGAAGTGACGCTGTAATTGTAGGTTCCGATGGGGGATAGGATGGTTATAAACACCGCAGAGATGATTGTCAAGACAAAGGAAGGGCAGTGTAACAAAGAGATTGAAGAAACAAAAGATCAATATGCAAATAACTTGTGCAGTAGGTAGCTCCGGATGATACAAGAGTCAGCTGCTTATTGTGCTATACTGCACAGAGTAGGTATGTATCTGCAAAGTTAGTGAGCAACCTTTTGTCAGCCACCCGCAGTCTCCCAGGCACATCCATGTAAGAGACCAGTCAAATCATGGAACCAACTCTTTTCCCTCTCACTTCTCACAAGAAGCAGTAGCAAGCGTCTTTTTTTCTTGTCTTTCTCTTCTTGTCTCTTTGTGCCTTGTTTACCGTTGCCTTGTTCCTGTGCTCGTGCTTCTTTTTTCCCTCTCTTCCCCTTGAATACCTACCTAAATAAAAACGATCCTCGTCTTTCTGCCCACTTCTTCGCCAAGTCTACCCCGGTCAACTCTGCCTTGCCCTGCCTTAACTTACCTTTTGACTCAGGTAGTTTGGGTTGACATTGTCATTTCATTCATCAGCTGGGCTCCATCTCATATAAGGTATTGGATCCCAACCCGAACCTGAACGTGTGAACGGGACTTGATCGGGTCTGTGCTACTGTGCACTTTTGCGACTTTTTATCGTCGTCTTTATCTTTTTATTTCCCTCCGTTGTTTCTCAAGAGTCTTGTCGAATGCACCATCGTCCTCGTTTACGGCATCATTACATCTTGTCCATCTTGGATATCGATATCGATCCGCTGACCGCCATCCACGTTTCCCCGCCATCTGCCCTGGATGTGAGCGCGCCTTCATCGTGATCTTTTTCTCGACAACCTCTCTTCTCACCTTCATCTTTTAACTTCACTATTCACTTTCCACTCTTCAACTATGGCGGCCCCTCCAAAGACAGAAGCCCCGCCGGGCGCAACATCGTCAACCCCGCCGCCTCCAGCTATTGAGTATTCGTATATGTATGAGAAGGATAAAAGCCCGTCAAAGCTATTAGATGCTCTATTAAGAGCTATTAGTCGTCATATTGTATGCGCCCACCCTTTCTTTAACCATTTGGTTGCAAAAAGTGCCAATATTCCAACGATCGCATACTGACCACCTTACGTCATAATAGATACTCGAGCTAGGCGATAAAACCGTTTGTCACCTTACCCCGGAAAAGCTGGCCGCCTTCTACAAGGCAGTTGGAGGCGATTATGACTGTAAGTTCCATAGCGGCTTTGTGCGACATATGCCTAACGTTTAAAGCTCTATTTGAAATGCCACACGAGTCCATCTCCTACATCTGGCAAGTTACTGGATGTCAACACACACTACAGCCAACCGACGACGATTTCGCACCACCTTCAATACCTGCCCTTACCGCTCGAGGCTTCTCACGATGGGAATCTCTCGAGATACTTCTCGGTCCCGAGGAACACGTTCCTTTCTTACAGTTCGCCGTCAAGAACTGGCAGCTAAAACATCCCGAGACAGGCGCAGACTTTCCAGCCGACCTACCTCCAACAGTATTCCCAACACAAGCCGACGCCGAGGTGGATCGATGGCACAAGTCGTGCGCCGAGAAGTTACGGAAAGAAGCAAACGCTCGAGAGAGGGAGGCATACAGAGAAACACGAGATCCCACGGGGCCTGGTGAACCTCCTGGAGGGCCAGAGCCCAAGTTCGCCTACTCCCACGTGAGAGGAAGTGCTTTTGCTGGAACCCGAGCCAGGCCTGAGCGACCGTTGTACAATCATGTGCCGGGCAGACATGCAGGAGGGCGACCAACCAGACCTTCACCTGAGAGGTACAACAGCCGCTCTGACGAACATGCCCGACGACGAAGCTTCTCCGATTACAATCAACAACCTTCTCCAGATGTACCACCACATGCACCGCATGCGCCCCCGGGGTCTTATCTGGACCCTCATGCGAAGCGGCCCGCACCGCCTCGTCGACACAGTCAGCCCAGGCACTACTCTTCAGACTCTAGTGATGACGAGCCGGTTCCTCCTCGCGCAAAGAGAAGACCTGAAGCAAGCCCGCCTTCGCCGACGACTCGTCGATATTCACCAACAAATGATCGCCCGCCTCCTGTTGCTAGCAATCCACCCCCAACATTCCGGCCTCACCGCGCAGATGGGAGAGCTTCAGACGATTCCACCCGCCGACGATCAACACACAGCCCCAGCCTACGAGAAAAACTGACCGAGAAAGTCTCAAACATTCTCCCCAACGGACTCAGCAGCAACACAGATCGCACCAGAAATCCACCTAGAGCCCCATCCTACAACACCGACTCGTCCCGCGGACGCCGAAGCCGAGACCGACTTCCTCCATCTCGCCTCAGCAGAAGCTACTCCGACATATCAGGAGCTTCCTCAGAAGCAGAGTCCAGCGACGAAGATATCAAGCGATCAAGACGCATGCGCGAAGAGCGAGATAGAGAAAGGGAACGAGACCGCGAGCGAGAACGCAGGGGTCGACAGCGGGAACTTGACCGGGAAAGAGAAGAAGAACGACGTGATCGGTACCTGCGCCGACCGGACATGGAGAGGCGAACTAGCAGCCATGCGGATGCGGAGCGAAGACGCGAATATCCCGGATGGGATCCGCGATCTGAGAGGAAGAGATGGGAGAAGCGCATGCCGCCTGATGAGCGGGGGACCAGTCCCCTTGGGGTTTCTGGGAGACGGTATGCCGAGCCGGCGTACCCTTGATCTGGGATATGGATTTTAATACCGAGATTGGTATGCATGCATGTCAAGTGTTGAGCACAGAGAGCGATATTGAGCATTTTTTGGAATTTCATATGGGTTTATCTTGGATATAACGAGATATAGGGTTTGCAGAATATGGCGTCTGGATAGACTGAGGGAGATAATGACAATGAATACATATACTCCACGGAGCAATGAGCATTTATTCCTACTAAGTTACTTTACTCTCACTTACTGACATCTAATCCTCCAAAAGTATCTATATAACTACAACTATAACATTGTTTCTCTTCAACATCACCAAAACAGCCTCCACTTGAGCAACCCCACGGTTACGCCATGGCTCCATTAAAGTGCCGCGATCACGGTAGCTAAGCCGGTCCAGAGCGGGCTTCTCCCGGGGTCATAAGCTACAAGGGTTCCTCAGAGTCTGGCCCCTCACCAAGCCTCAACCAAAATTCCAAAACCCCTCTCACTAGGCGAGCCAACGAGAAATGTCGAATTGCCATCAGGGGTCTCGTAGCAGGCCAAGATTCCTTCTTCAACAAAATGAATGCCGTTGTTCACGGGTAGCGGGCCGAGAGATGGAGCCTCAACTTTACAGCTTTATAACATTGCTCGAGAGACATAAAACCATAAGGTGTAAGCTGGAATTATGATCTACGTTCAATTCAACAGTCAAGTCTGTTGAGCTACATCCTCTGGTTCCATTTCTCATCTGCATCCCTTCCCCCGTCGTAGATGATCATCGCCAGGTCCTAGTGGATCTCGGTACGCGGTTTAGGACGGTATTCCATGGTAATTCAACAGTCTAGAAAAGCTCCCGAAAGCCGAGACTACCGGGGCATATACCAGAGTTGAGAGCTGTATTTAGCATGGATGTTTTGTATCTGTATGTAATTGCCTGTGTTTAGGACCGGAGACTGACCGAGGTCGGCCGTGGGGGACCATAAGTGAGGCGTAGCTATAGCCTACCTAGAGCTCACCAACAAGAGCTGGCCCATTCATAATGTTAGAGTTTTGAGCTCTTTCGATTTAGTCCATGGTGTTGTACCTACACAGCTACTGTACTGTACACATCTTGTCTTGGTTTAGTGCCTCATGCTGCTGCAGCTCACTCACAGCTAATCTGCTGTCCCTCTCTCGATTGACTTTGACCAATTCACTCACTTCTTTCATCTCACATTCTCTATTTTCATTCCTTTCATCATTACCTTTTTCAGAATGAAGCCCGGTACATCTCTCCGTCTTGGGGCCCTTCGACAGGTTACACCCCGTAACCGTTTGTCCCTCCCCGCTTCGGCGAGATGGCAGCATTCCCGGGCCATGTCAACAGTTGTTGACTTCCATCCTCGACCTTCGCAGCCGCCTCCTCCTCCGGCTGGAGCTAACGAAGCGATTGAGAAGCAGAGGGCGGAGAAGAGGAAGCAGATTCTGAGGGAAGCTGTCACGGCGACTCAGGTTCGACATGACTGGACCAAGGAGGAGATTGCGGCCATTTACTACCAGCCTGCCCTGGAGCTAGCATACCAAGCTGTAAGGACATCTCTTCTCATTCGATCGCGATTGTGACTGCGGTTGTCGTTCAATGATGGCATCAATTGATGGGCATATCTCACAGAGCAACACCATGGCTAACACAAACTCTTAGAGCACCGTACACCGTCGATGGCACAACCCCGCCGAAGTGCAACTCTGCACTCTGATGAACATCAAGACAGGCGGCTGCACCGAAGACTGCTCCTACTGCGCCCAATCCACCCGTTACCAAGAAGGCACAAAGGTTCCCGCCAAGAGAGTAGAGAGTGTCGAGAGCGTACTAGCAGCTGCGCGAACAGCCAAAGAGAAGGGAAGCACTCGATTCTGCATGGGCGCCGCATGGAGAGATATGCGCGGTCGCAAGAACAGCTTGAAGAACATTAAGGCTATGGTTGAGGGCGTCAAAGGCATGGGTATGGAGGTCTGCGTGACGCTGGGTATGATCGATGCAGAGCAGGCAAAGGAGCTCAAGGCCGCGGGCCTCACGGCGTACAACCACAACGTCGACACTAGTCGTGAGTTCTACCCGTCTGTCATTACGACACGCAGCTACGACGAGCGACTACAGACGCTGAGCCACGTGCGCGACGCTGGTATCAAGGTGTGTTCAGGTGGAATTCTCGGTCTGGGCGAGACCAGCGAAGATCGTGTTGGTCTCCTTCACACCGTGTCGACACTCCCAAGTCACCCGGAGAGCTTCCCCGTCAACGCCCTGGTGCCCATCAAGGGCACGCCGCTGGGCGATCGACCGATGGTTGAGTTCACGAGCATGTTGCGAACCATCGCCACGGCGCGAATCATCATGCCCTCGACCATCATCCGCATCGCAGCGGGCCGCAAGACCATGTCGGAGGAGAAGCAGGCCTTGTGCTTCATGGCGGGTGCGAACGCTATCTTTACAGGCGAGAAGATGCTCACGACGGAGTGCAATGGCTGGGATGAGGACGCCGCCATGTTTGGGCGATGGGGTCTTGAGCCCATGAAGAGCTTTGACAAGTCTCCCCAGCCTGCACCTGAAGTTCGAGTTCTGTAACAGTCAGAATTGCTTATTAAATTGAGTGCGAGTTTCAGCATAGCACACCATCCCTCATATCCATCCATGTGCATGCTACTTAGTTATCGAAGTTTATCATGCCCGGCCCGCACCGGCTTCGTTCCGGTCTGAGAATGACAAAAAAGGACAGGCAAGGTTCATTAGTGATAACCGAGGGAGCGGATAAAATGTGATAGGTATCACATCACGTTAGCAGAGGCGCATGAGATGGAGATAACGAGGATAATCGAGAGATGTAGTGGAGCTAAAAGGACCATTCTCTGCGCGTGACTCGCGGATTTCTGGGTTTGTTGGGCCAATCTCGTGACGACCAACCACGAGAACAGTGAATTTAGTCAAGTAGTCAGTGTTGATGTCAGATTTACAAGAGGTTTTGAGTTTTAGGTGTTCGTTAAAAAGTCATTTCCATTTGGGTCTGCAAAATGTACAATTGTATATGGTCAGCTGGTAGGGTGTATAAAAAGTGCCATCAAGTGAGAGAGCTGTTGCACTTTATGTGACAAACCCTCTCTTTGTATCAGGTAGATACAAAGCTATATATCCCTCAAATGGTAAATACGATGGATAAATACTAGATTCTCTGATGACGTTTCTGTTTAAATGCCTGCAACATCATTCGTCCAAGCGTTGAAACGAACAGGTTACACGCAGTTCGTGGACAAGGGAATCAATGGCCAACAGATGACCAAGTGGCACACTAGAATACTGCGAGTATGCATAGGCTATGTAGTATTGAGAGATCCAACAGCAACAACAGAATAAAAACAAATAACAAACACACTGCTACACAGATCTAATAGGTTCGGGTTCTTTGTAACCACAGACAGACAGAGACAGAATTGCTGACCTACAAATTACAATGTAGACCGCCGCTTACACTCCATCCTCTACACGCCCCCGCCTACAATTCACTCTACACCCTGAGAGTTGAGCTTTAATCCAGGCGCATTAGGTCCCGGCCTCAGAATCATCCTCAGCCTATCAAATGACCCGTCCATGTCCTGTAGGCTCCCGATGGGGGATGCTATTGGCACCACTCAAGCCCGCTTCTGGTCCCTGAGGCTGGGGCTGGCCTGCTAGGGACCTTAGGTTCCATGGCACCAAGCCAAGATAGAAAGGAGGGGCGCCAGACAAGAAGAAAAAAGAACCCGCCGCCGCCTGAAGGTAAAAAAAAAGATGGAGGGTCTGTTCCCGACGCCGTGGAGTTAAGAGAGTGTGTGTTTTCCAATGCATTAAATGCATGCCAATACATGAGCATACCATCCATACCAAACCATGCCATCCTTTACATCCATATTAACTTGTCACCTCCCTCTCTGGTCTCACCAATAACTCTCCCCTCTTTTCTTTCCAATGGTGTATGTAATTCACACTCAAATTTACTTTCAGGGTTCTACAAGTACGAGAGAGTCTGCTAAACTCTAGCAACTTTACCTATCGTATCTCTCTGTCGCAAAAGCCTCTTCGGCCTTGCCGTTCCTTGCCTGATTCCACCCCCGCCGAGAACGCCCGAGCATACATATCCCACTGCTCGCTCGCTCAGCCTGGTTTTGAGATTCTCTCCTCACTTGAACTTTTCATCCTTCCTGGTTGCCTGCCTTGCCTTGTCTGATCCTCAGCAATACGTGTCACACTGCTGCCTCGTACAAAAGGACTACTATCGACAACACAACTCAACCGAGATTACGTGAACGACCATATTTCTACTCCCAACTTTTTCGAACAACGGCTGTCATACAACAAATTAAAGCCTCTTCGACAAAGCTCTACCCATTTTAACCTGTCCGGCATCGGCCTTGCTTCACCACCGCCAGCATGAAGGGCCGTCCCGTTGACCAGCTCGTTTACGAGTGCATGTTCCCTCGCCCCAAGAGCAACGACCCCCTGAACTTCCACGCTCTACTCCAACGCAACTTGATCCCAGAGGTTCGTCAGGAAACACACGCTTTCTACGGCCACCTCGACACCCAGGAAGCCAAGTACCCCGGCCTCGACTACACTCACCACACCCATCGCATTCGTCTCTCTCGCTGGCCATGGCACCGACGACTCTTCCGCGCCTTCGACAGCCTCAAACTCACCGGGGCCGAAATCGCAGGCTTGACCAAGTGGGAGGGAACAAAATGGGCCAAGGAGAAGTACGAGAAGGAACAGGGATATGTTATTCATGACACCACCGCCGACGGTTTCCCTGACTGGGCCGATATCGAACACCTGCCCCGCGCCAACCGAGATCAGTCCGTCGAGGTGGAAGGTGTTGCTATTGACGATCTGTACAACGAAATGATGGAGGTCGAGAGCGAGGACGAGCTGGATAGTGTGGGTGTCGAACTGAACGAGCGCCTCAGGGACGGTGTTGCGAGACGCGACGCCGGAGACACTTCAGCGGTCCTCGACGAGGAATGGGAGCAGTGGCTAAAGAACGCCATTGAATCTGGTGAAATCAACTACCTAAACGACCACATCTTTCACGACAGCGACACTGTCCCTGCAGCTCTCTTCCCTCCAGGCTTGCTCAGCACCGCCCGAGCTGGCCAATGGCATGAGATCCCCGAATCTCTTCACCGCATCCTCCGCCGCACACTGCAGTCAGAGGACCCCAATCGTCCCCAACAGACGCAGACGCCGATGCAGACACTACCACAACCGCAACCACAGACATCGAGCCTGCGCTCTACATCCTCCCTGCGGCGCCACCTGATTGACAACCGGCAGTGGCGTGCTCCGTGGACACGTCGCACCTTTTCAGATCTCCGTCTGCCTGTGGGCGATGCTAGTTCAGGACGAGCAGATAATTCCAATGCTTGAATATCAAGCTGAGAAGAACAAGAAAAAAATGAAACGAAATTAAAAGACGAAAAGGCCAAGCAAAGAAAAGCAGTAGCTGTTTCTTACGAATTATACCCTCTTGGCTTCGCCACTTTTTCGGTGAAGCCTTATTTTATCCAACACAGCGATCAGACACACGCACGCCCGGCCGCAGCCTCAAATGCAAGCATGACCAATGTTTCATCCCTGTCTCTGCTCAGGCATCCAAGGGTATGTAGACAACAAGCAACCGACCGTACGAGACACACACACACGCACACACACACACAAGACACACATATCACTTTTTTGCATTTTTCTTTGTCTGACTATCCACAGTATGGATTATGGTGTCTGGCGATTGGGAAACAGTAAACGGGGGAAACAACATCTGTATGATTTATTTTTTATGGGAATTGAACATTATGGATCTGTCGGGTTGATAGAATGTTTGTTGCTTGACATTCGATTCGATTGGCAAGGATAGAAGGCGGCTTTCTCCATCTGGTTCTCTTCGCCTTTGGTGCTTGTGCTGGTCACATTTGAATCATACGGGCTTGTTGATAGATAGCCAGCGACTTGTACCTGTTTAAAAAGGGTTTTCTATGTTGATCAGATTCGCATGTGAATGTTTTGGTTGTGATGTATGTAAGACACAGGTGTAGAGGTAGTTGTAAGCTTTCTCGTCTGAAAGGACAACTTAACCTACAGAGGCAACGTTGGCAAAGAAAGATGTTATTCTATACTCAACGCCCTCCTAAATAACGTCTTGGGCATGCTTGAGTTGAAGCAGATGTATTATAGAAGTGTTTGGTAACTATTATTGTGTTACTAGCATACTCCGTACACTGGACGTGTTAGAGAGTGGGCTGGATCCTTTCCTGATTCCCCGACTTCATCACCACAACCAGTCCATACAGACAACCTCGAGGACCCAAGGGGTCTCACGAACCTGAACTAGATGTTTGTACGAGGGCAAAAGAAAAAGGATCTCCCCAAGAACTAGTGAGAAGTGCAAAAACAGGGCCTGACCGGGGATTGAACCCGGGACCTCTCGCAAACTTTAGTCCTCTTGTGAGAACTGAGATGTCACTCCCGAAGCAAGAATCATACCGCTAGACCATCAGGCCGGACACTAGATCCTAGTCATTTGTTAGTGCTCGTGTCCCAGAATGTTGATTATAAACGATGATTGAGTTGACGCAGGACGATGAATTCGTTGAATTACACGTCCAATCTCTATTGCTAGTCGATGAAATGACTTGATTGTGAGAAGATAATCATTTAATGATAGTATTATGACTTGGAACTACAGGTTCTGTAGTGGGCCTTCCCGTCATTGTTGTGTTACATCAACGCGGGCTCCAAGAATCATGACATGCAGCAGGCCTGGCTTATAGCTGCCATGCAGTGCCTCACATTCCGAATATTTTATGTTGGTCTACGATTTGTTAAGCTCCGATTGAAGGATCCTCTGAGCCTCTTTAGTACGCATCTGCTTCGTACGGCTTATAGAGTATCAAATGTCATCAGCTCAGCTCATTGGTTTGGTGATGCTACAAACTTGACAAATGTACTTCAAGCTTCAAAGATGGCCACGCAACATAAAACATGGTATGCATTGCACCTACCAGAATCCTGAAACTCCTCGCTAATATTAACCCTTTACCCACCCAGATAAATTACAAATAACATCCCAACAACTACTCATCCGTTGTGCCCCCCGACGATGTCCGAAGTTTGATGCGGATGCGATTCCTTGGTTTTGGTTTACTAGCTGGACGAGAGCTCTATCTCTCAGGCTCCAGATGTGACCACTCAGGAATCGCCTTGATCTGCTGCCACATATACTTTTCGAGCTTGTTCGCCGATTTCGCATAGGGAGTGCTCTCATTATTGTACTTTCTACAGTTGTCGAAAACAAGCTTGGCGTCCTTGATGAAATCTTCAGGCGTGAGGTACTGGTCGGCCTCAAGTTTGCTCTCCATCGTACTAAGATCCATAGGCTCCTTGATAACTTCGTAGTAGTCCGCCACATCGTCACGGTTAACAGGCACAAGGAATGGCCAGGCTGAGTTGTGGTTCTGTAGATCGTTGAGTAAGTGGAGAAGTTGGTTGTAGTTGGGTCCGTGACGAGGTTGGCGGGCGAGCTCGTCCATATCAGGAGACCAGCCTGATGCTCGAATGGCAGGAATATCGAGAGGGTTGATCTCGGTGATTCCGTTCTTCCACTCCTTCGGCGGAGCATGGATATTGTGTGATTTGGAGTAAGCGCGGATCTTGGCCTGGACGCATTCTTTCTGCTTAAGGAGCATGCGACCCATTTCGAGATATCTAATCCGCGGCAGCATCGAGCACTGCATAATAGTACCGCCTTCATAATCCTTGATGTATCCCATCCAGACCTTCTTGTCGAGGGTGATTTCCTTGGTGAATCCCTGCTTTTTGAAGTAACCGATAGCATAGTTGTCGGCATAAGTGAGGAAATGCATCACGTCGCTTGTCGCCTTGACATAATCCTTCAAGTGCGACATGAGATGGGCACCGTATCCCTTGACTTGTTGGTCAGAACTAATGGCACAGAAGACAATCTCGGCGAAACGGCGACCCTTGAACGGGCGATATGTGATTCCTCCGACAACTTCGAGGGGCTTCTTAACAATGGCAATCGATAAATGTGTTCGGTCGTAAACTAGTCGCGCAATATAATCCTTAGGCATTTTGGGAAGTTGTTTTTGAAAGATACATTTGAGTCCGGTTAAGATGATGAGTGATTCGCGCTCGTTGTCGTTGTTGACTACTCGGAATTCGATTTCGCCATTGCGCTCTTCGATGACGGCGGGCTGTAAACACCTTGTGAGTACATGATATATGTATGAGGTTTGTTGGCAAACTGACCTTTTCGGGGAAAGGAATCCTCTTGATCTCCGGCTTCTTCTCCGGAGGCTCAGCCGAGTCGTCTTGCTTGATGCGCTTCGATGGGGTGGGAGACGATGGCTCCTCCTCGGCTTTGCGCTTGCCGTCTGGGTGAGATATTGTAAGTATTTCAATCGTTATCGCGGTCGCATATTTGATGAGACTTACTTTCTTCTGACATAATCGCAACAGGAATCCCGTAGGGTTCTTCAACTGTGAAAGATAATTAGGGAGCAAGTGAGTTATGATAGAATGGAGTATCATGACAGCGGAGTGAGGCGCGTCGAGAATGTCCGTGCACTGCTTATGTCATTCAATGTGGGACCCTCCAGCTCAAGGCAGGAGCTGACAGGGGTAACTGTCCACTAAACCCTATTTGTCTATGGACACGATGCGCCATCGTAAGCTCATGAAGCTTCCCCAGAGCATCTCCTAACAAAACAGTTTGTCAAGTCAACACATTCACCTCAACTTTTCTACCGCGACACGTCAATTTCTCGCGAGATCCTACTGCTCGCTCTCCCAAAACACTACCCATTCTTCTTTCCAATTTAGCCTATGGATTCTTCGCTGCATGAGGTCTGGCAAGCTGCTGCTGGCAGTCCCTTCTTCCCTACTGTGAGCAAAGGAAGCCAGTTCTGGGTCGCCTTTTCTTTGCTCTTTCTCGGATTCTCTCTCACCGGTGTCTTTGCCCTGAGTAAGTACCATTGCCATCATCTCAACTTCTGCCGACTGACTAGCTTCAGACCGCACACTCGTCAACGTTCCCGTACTAGGCATTCCAGCCTCCATCGCTATTGCGTACGTTTTCCACCGACTGTCTATCATCTTCTCAATCGCTTACGTTCAACAGTTTCGGAGTGGTCTACATGTTCTGTGCGGTCGGAGTTTACGTCTAAGATACCCAAAAAGTCCTCATTTCGATCGGTTTCGTGTAAAATAGTTGGAGCAATCAAGAGAAGACGCTACTACAGGCGCCTATTGCTTTTCTGCCACGTTTCGTACTTTTTATCCACACATTATCCTCAATCTATCACAGTCACAATCTTGAAATGGCTTCAGACGCTCCGCCAATCTTTCGCGCAGTTGCGACTTCGACCAGGCCACTGTATCAACTTCTCAGATGCATCAACTTTGCACCGAGAGTTCATGTCCAAATTACAGAGGATGGCGTTCGTTTCGCTTCTGACCATGCACGGGTGATGCAAGGTCAGTTTGATAGCTATCTGTAGGATAGGCTAAAACTGACAATGACCAGGAGTTGCATTTCTCGATAAAGCTCTCTTCTCATCATATACAGCCAATCTCCCTGCTCAGGATGGCGGTAATCCGCCCGAGCTTCCTAATTTTCAACTTTCATTATCTTCTGTTCTCGAAGTACTCCAGATTTTTGGAGCCGTAGATGTAGCCACACGGGCACAAAAAGCAGACCAGGATCCTTATCGCAGCAATCTTCGGAACTATCGGCCTGATGCTTTCAGTAACCAAACTCTTGGTATTTCTGGCACCTGTACTCTGCAGTATAGCCAAGAGGGTGATCCATTCAAGATCACCATCGAGGAGTCTGGCGTCAAGACAACAGCGTCATTGACTACCTATCTACCAGAAATACCTGATGATATTCCATTTGACCGCAATGATCTGTCCTTCAAAATCATCATGCAATCTCGAACACTACTCGATTCTATGGCAGAGATTTCTCCAACAGCTCCGACGAAGCTAACTATCACAACCACCAAAACCTCGCCATTTCTATCTCTCGCTGGTGTCGGGGATCTTGGAAGCTCAGGAGTGGACTTCGCCCGTGGAAGAGACCTTCTCGAAACCTTCAACGTTCAGGAACGCTGGTCTCAGGCGTACAAGTTTGACTTTATCAAGAATTCAACAGAAGCAATGCGGATAGCCACTAAGGTTAGTTTACGAGGGGATGGTCAGGGGGTGCTGAGTCTGCAATTCATGGTAGATATTGAAGGTGGCAAGCGAAGCTTCTTGGACTTTCGGTTCGTTCCATTCATCTCGCACGATGAGGACGATGATGAAGACGATGAGGCAGAGGAGGCTGGCGAAGCAGACTAGATATATTGACTGGAAAAGTTCTTCACAAAAGGACGTTAATGTTAAGAAATTGTCTCACCCAACCACTCATGTCTCACGTACCTTTTTTACTGCTAACCGTTCTGTCTTGTTACTGGTTGGTCATGCAACCTTTTTGGAAATCCCTTGTCTCCCTTGATCCACCAATGGAATGCAGCATGAAGCAATCTGGAACATGCCCTACGTCGAAGCTATCGTGGCCGGAATGATGGATCCAGCCTCCTCTGGCATTATTACATCTATCGCAGAATCTGTGCCTGCAATGCTGTGCTGAAAAAGGGGCCTCATCCCACCTATTTCCGTTTGTTCAGCTTCTTCAACACATTTCATATTTCAACTCCACCGTTATCTTCAATCCATTACTTGTCAAACCTGCTGAGCGGAACGACACTTTATTTTTCACAATGAGCCAGTATAAAGAGATCAAAATCATCATGTCCTCCGGACCTTGCATCACAGACACCACCGCCACCACCAAGAACAACAGAAAGATTTCATGTCACGACTGCCTCTTTGGCCCTCTGAGGTCATGGGCAAAGGCCAAATTTGGAAAGAAGCCTACATACGTTGAGCTGCATGACGACTTTGAGCCTTTACTCGATGAGAAGAGAGCTCCTAGGCCAACCTATGAAGTTCCCAAGATCATGCGCATTGCTACACCACGAACGATTAAACGATACAACCGTCTGCCTTGAGGGCAAGCATACGAGCAAGAATAACCGGTCATGATTCAGCCAACTTTTCGATTTTGTCGTCTAGAAACACATTATACGATACGGAAACACAAAAATATGAGAAACGAGAGACATTTTTTTTATGAATTACAAGAACTTATGGGAGTACTGCAGGTCGGTTTATTGCTATGGGTTATTTGGGGTCTTATGCTGTAAATGAATTATGGTTATGGAATACATAAAAGGAGTTTGAAGAAATTGCACGGCTTTGGACTATATTTAGCTTCTTCTAAATACAAGAATATCATGATATTTTCGTCAACATTGCTCCTGATGTTATAAACTAACCTTAAGGCCAGTTCATCAGAATAGATTGGGGTCCAGCAACGTCGGATCTTGGCCTGTATTTTCTGGTGGTGACAATCTTGACAAATGCATGGAAACCCTGGTAAGAAGTTGGGCCCAGTTCTGTTTCATGTGGTAGAAACATGCTTGTAACAATGTCTGATATGCTCGGAATAGCACGAGTATGATTCACTGACCTACATTACCTACTTCACTGTGTTCCTGTCAGCGGGTGGCCGATTCCCCGGAGAGCTCGTGCCAGCCGCGAGGAATAGCATCCTGGGGGGTATGCCTTGACCAAGAGGTTGAGAGGGCGGAAAGGAATTTACCGAAACATGGATCATATTTGATTTAAACTCAGCTGAGTCCTGTTGGAAATATAAACGGATACTGTCCCAGGGATTGACCTTGGTGTTGTTGGGGGCTATGGCCTTCTAACGCTTTCAAAGCAGGGCAACTCCGAAAAATTGTTAACGGACGACCAGGAGCATAAAGATATTGCTTGTGCATGAAGGATCCAAATATAGAGCATTTTCTTGTTTTATTGAGCGTCTTCTATTGGCCCCCATGAAATGTTCTGCATGATTGAGGCTCAGAAAGCGATATTTAACTGCCGTGTCCGAGAAAGGCAGGTGCACCAGGAACGAACAAGGTTATTATCCATCCATCGCGGGCAGGATCGATTCCTCCCGCGGAAGAAGAACCCACCAAATACAACATCACTTCAAACTGCGCCACGCTTCGACTGTCTATCAATCTATTATTCTCTCATTGTGACCTCAAGCTCTTGTCAATTAATCCTCACCGCTGTCTTGACGCAGTCAAATCATCCTGATACGATGCCATGACTCTCCCAATGCAAGCAGCCGTCGGTGATTCACCGCTCGGAATTGGAATGAAGACGCAATAAACTATCGGATCTAACGATAGGGATCCATCGCTAATCGTTCGTTTGCCCGTCAATGCACGCGGGAAACTTTCCTTTCCCGCCCGTTCTCCACCTAAGGATCAGCATCAGGGCCCGGTAGATCAGCCGTCCAGTGCCAAGACAATCATTCGACAAGATACAAGCTCCTAAGGCATTTCGAGTTACCGCCGACATCAGGGCTCTCTCTTCAGGTTAGCACTGCAGCCTACCGAGTTCTGAGGGTTACAGTGCATGCGCAGGCTGACAGGAGGATCGTTTCTACTACTGCATCATCCCGCTCCGCCTGATACCCACTGCTGTGATGTTACAGGACGTCGTGGGCTCACAACTTGTCTCCGACATCAAGACGCTTTATCCAGACGGGTAGCGACTTTGATGTGTTGTACGGGCTCTTTCCTTGGGTCCGGTTATTCGATATCCGGGGACTCGAATGAACCACTGCGATTAGTGGGTGGTTGGGAGTTGTTGCACAAACTGGATACGATGACCGGGCCTCGACATTCGAAGCAAGACATCTTGTTTCCTGCTTCTCGCAGGCCTGAACAAACAGCCCTGAATAGCATCAGCCACGATCAACCGTCAGCCAATTAGCACGGCAGTAGACAACATACAGATTGCCTGTATTGGTAGGACTTTGCTTGCATGCATCTGGGGGCCATTGTTGCTCCACAACACCATGATTGAGGATAGGCTTACAGACAGAGGAAGGATCACACGAGTTCACCTAGAGTCCATTATCTGAGTCCATCGCACCGTATGCGTCCTGAGGTATATATCTACTGATAAATCCTGAGACATCTGGACAGTTGAATTGTTTGCAGGCCAAAATCGCATCTGATTTCCGCATTCGGGTCCGTTGAACTTTAGACCCATCTAAAGTAGCCTCGAATCCGGCGACACTGAATGAGATCGCATCCACTCATCTAGAGCATATACTACCAGCATTTGCTCGACAAACTCTCTTTTCAACGCACTTCTTTCATTCTTCTTCTTCTCCTTACTTCAGGACTATGTGAAACCGTTTATTTGAATTCTCTTCGTTCCATCATCTGCCTTTGTCGGGCAAGCCAAGATGCCTGGCTTGATACGGCGACTTATAACTCCTCAACGGTCACAACCCAATATCAGAGATCGGGATCGTGGTCGCGATCGCCGTGAAGATCTCACTGATTCATGCGAGGACCTGAGTTCTTGTTGCGCCAAGTCTTCACAAAGAAAGACCAACAAGGCCAAGTCACGTCTTCCACTTCCAAAGAAAGGTGCAACGCCTGTTACTATTCAAAGGATACCTGACGTACACCGCGTTGCGAACGCGGTTTCCCCTATACCGACTCCACGTTTACGAGCACCATCTGTCAGCTCTTCACGTTGTGAGGGGCGAAATGCTGCTCTAGAGGCTCTCACAGGCAATGATCCCACCAACGGATGGCCTCTTTGTCCAAGTGAGCACGGACAAGCCCACCCACATTCCTACCATCACTCCCATTCCTCCCAATCATCTCGGTACCTGCGCCCCCCTCGGACTAGGAATGGTCCTCTCGGCCCTGTCCATGTAAACGACAATAGCACACACCTAGAAAGAACCTCGCCAGAGGCGTCGATTCTTTCTTTGTCGGACCATGGCGCTGATGGTTACGAGGCCGGGCCAACCACCTGGCAGCCTGCCCAACCCATGTACGACGGTCAAAGCCTTGGCTCGTCATCAGACAGCGTTGACCGTCTGTTTCGTGAGACTGATGAGGCATTCAAAGCTCTTGGATCTGCACTTAGAGAAACCCAACGTGCATCACAGTTATCTGTTTTACCTTCACCACCCTCACCACCAGGAATCCCAACTTTTCACAAACATTCCAAATCCATGCCGCTGCCCACGGGCTTTCAAAAACATTCGAGATGGAGAAGAGAGGATTCGCCTTCAACTTCATCTCAAAGATCATCACCAGACAGAAGGACTTCGGTGGTGAAGAAACCTCAGAGAAAGAAGCATAGTCTTGTAGGGACTTCCTTTTCAAGAGCAGCGACCCGCACGCCAAGATGGACTTTGTCGGAGAACGTGACAGACATTCTCACGGGCCAGCGTTTCAGACGCATCGAAGCTGATGAGATGCTAACACCGGATCGCATCGAAGCACTGCGCAAGAAACGAGAGGCTGCACAACAGTTGGACGAGGAGCGCGCTACCACAAGAGAACGATATTCTATCGACTCCATTCGCAGTGCAGCATCAGATAACTCCGAGACAGACATTGAGCCATTCCATCTTGACGAATTAGCATCTCGAATTCGAGCGAGACAGGCTGTGGAGAATTCGGCAGTTTCGGTCGTAGTAACGCCTCCTGCCGCAGACCCGACTCCTGGTCTGGATCTTGTTTCCCGAGACGTTTCGAAACGGGCCTCAGGGGAGGAGGATGATGAGTCAGTTGGAAGTAGCAAAGATAAAAGTGACGCATCGCCAGAGACCTCACCCCAACTGCCGGCCAAGAATCCTGCACGTCTCGGTGCAGAGGCTTCAAAAAAGCTACCATCAATCCCCGAAGTCATGGGGGCTGCGACAGCGAAAGACGAGGCAAGCATCGAGCCTCCAGCCAGTCCACCGGCCACTGAAGCCACCAGCATGAAGATGGAAGAGAGCGATGAGTTCTTCTACCTCAAGAGTACACCCTATACTCTCACAAGCCCATCTTTCCGTCATGGACCTATCACCCTAGCCAAAGCCGAGGTTGGCAAAGGAGTCAAGACCATGGACGACACATTAGACTGGACAGCGTTCCAGATGGCGATATTGGGAGGAGCCGGAGATTTCCTCCAAGACATGTCGAGCGAGGAGGACACAAAGCAGGTGGAGGAAATCACGTCGTGGTTCGATACGTTTGGCTTTGAGACATACGGGGTGCTGATACCCGGAGACGTGCCTGAGCAAGAACCAGAACCCGTGGCTGTTTCTGTGTCAGAGCACACGCCTTCAATGAGGTCTTCGGCTCACAGCACTCTCTCGTCGACGCCTTCAACCATCGACACAGAAGTTGACCTGCCGATCCCTGTGGGTGCAGAGTTCCCCTCTGGGTTCTGGAACGCCCCGGCGCCCGGCCAGACTCTCAACAAAGCTAAGTTCTATAACAGCACAGGGCTAAAACGATGGGTTGGCGAAGGACGGCCGAAACGCCCTTCGTCACACAGCTCGGAAGACAGCCTACCACCGAGCCCAATGATGCCTCTCGTGGTTCATATGGGCGCTGGCGAAGCCGATATTCCGGATACGGTACCGATGGGTTATAACCTAGACCATGACCTCCCTGACTTTCTGAAGTGGGAGGCGGAACATGCCTATGCATCTGGGTTCAGTGTATCACCGTGAGGGTGATTTTTGTTCGTTCCTTTTGTTATTTGCGGTTCATTTGGCTGGGATGCTGATGTATCCATCCCATGCATGAGATTTCATTTTGACACGTTTACCATATACCAAAGCATTGAAGGCGCTGAGAGCATTTGTAATAGATGATCAACATATTGATACGAAGTATCATGTTATATAGATGACATAAAAGAATTGACGTTGATGATATGGCGTGGAGAGTCTAGAGAGTGTATCGTTAAAGTTAGTGTTTACAGTGGGATAAGTGAGTGCATGTGGCTGGCTGTAGCCAATCAATTTTGCACACTCACAGCCAACCCACACTGTGTTTACCCATCTCTCGTCTCATGTGGCCCTCGCAACAGCATCTCATCAACTCAAATCTCAGGATAAAGG